AATCGGGTCGTTTTGAATCGCCCGCGATCGGTTCAGCCAATCGCGGTCGATTCCGAACGACCAATCAGTGCCGCGCACTCAGCCAATCCGGTGGCCGTGTGCTTTAGCCAATCCGGGCTGCCGGATTTCGAGTATGCAGATGTCTGTACAGAACAGTATTCAGCAGGTTCTGACCAGTTCTGGAGAACCAGTAGCGGAAATTTTGAGTAGTTTGGAGAACTAGCAAATACCACCTCTGAATGGAGATTTTACAGTACCCTTCCCAGCCACTCCCATCAAGCCATGCCCACAGAACCGGTAGTAAAAAAATTGAATCCCACCACTGATTGGAATCCCTTTTGAGGTGCTATTTCTCTGAAATGCAACTACTAATCAGCAAGCATCTATACTGAACCATTTAGCACAACATCCACTACATTGAACCATTTAGCACAAGACACATGGTTCCAGAAAGCCTTTTACTTTTTACTGCCTTTTACAGGCAGTAGTTCTGCCATTGTGTTTGTTTGAAAAGTTAGTTAAATCCCTCGAAATGTGCAGATCTGTTCATAGAAACAAAGCTTTAACATTAAAATGCCTGATGTTAATGGTTAAACTTCAACTGTGTGTTTGTGCACAAGGTTATATATCTGTGTTCCTGTTCCTTTGAATAGCTCAAAATACTGCTTCTTCACCTGGCAACTTTAAGATGTCTGGACTTCAACTCTCAGAATTTCCTAGAGTTACGCTTCTCAGCTTCATGACTATGGGTGGCAAGCTACAGTTAACAATATAAAATAGTAGCAGTAGCAATAGCGTTTATATACCGCTTCACAGCACTTTACAGCCCTCTCTAAGCAGTTTACAGAGTCAGCCTATTTCCCCCAACAATCTGGGTCCTCATTTTACCAACCTTGGAAGGATGGAAGGCTGAGTCAAGCTTGAGCCGGTGAGAATCGAACTGCTGGCAGTCGGCAGAATTAGCCTGCAATTCTGCATTCTAACCACTGCACCACCACGGCTCTTAATATATTGTTATTAGTAATAATATGACAACTGAATACAAATCGGCAGCTGAGGCAAAAAAAATATCACAAGTATCAGCATCCCATTCCATCCCATCCACATGTGCTGTGGCATAATCAAGTCTTCAGAGGCCTGCAGGGTAAGGGCTAATCTTCTCTCTGGGAGAGTGGATGTATAATAGAGTGTGTTGATGAGAAGAAGACCATCCTAATTGATCAGATGCCTAAAAAGTGAAAGTAGGAAATCTGTACTTCCACTTTTGCAAGATTTACGGATTTATTTGTGTCAGAAGCACCATTGTTACATTTTTATACATAAGCATAAATGCAAACATAAGAACAAAACATTTAAAAAGTATAAAAACCTGATTTAAGCCATGCTTGTCCAGAAGTATGCAGCTTCAATTGCATTCTGTTGCACTGTCATAACAGTACATTGGGCGGGGCACAAGGAGCAAGTGAATACGTGTGTGTGGTTGTCTGTAAATCTCCACACTTGCAGTAGGCAGAAGTCACCAAATATCCCCCTTTATTCAAATATCTATTGATCTTGCTGTAGCCATGCACAATCTATTTAGCGCAGGGATCCCCAAACTTGGCAACGTTTTGCTGGCTGGAGAATCCTGGGAGTTGAAGTCCACAAGTCTCAGTGTTGCCAAGTTTGAAGGCCTCTGATTTAGCGATTGCCAAATTTCCCACTTTTCATCATGGGCAGGTTCCAGCTTCTCTGCAGGTTCCATCCAGTGTTGGACTTCTGTAGCTTGTAAAATTAACCGTGATGGAATCTTACTACGAGGTAGAACGAGTCCATCTAGTCATGCTTCTAGTCTAGTTAGGAGGATTGATATCAATCTTGCAACTCTAAAAATACAACTTCCTGCCACCACCAATCGATTGAGTTCTTCCTATGTTTGTTCCTCTGACCATTAAGCCACTGAGGGCTCCCGCTTCTCTCTTCTGATTGCTTCCTAGACAGCATATCTTCCAGTGGTGGGATTCAAAAAATTTTTTACTACCGGTTCTGTGGGCATGGCTTGGTGGGCATGATGTGGCTTGGTGGGCATAGCAGGGGAAGGATACAGTAAAATCTCCATTCCCACCCCGCTCCAGGGAGAAGCTTACTGCAAAATCCCATTCTCACCCCATCCCACTAACCTGCTTTTCAGTTCTGTTCTCCTGTGCAGGGCAACATAAGAAGACTCAGCCGATCAGCTGGGACTCAGGAGGCAGAGAATAGATGGGAGCAGGGCCAGTCAGAGGTGATATTTACCAGTTCTCCTAACTACTCAAATTTTCCACTATCGGTTCTCCAGAACTGGTCAGAACCTGCTGAATACCACCTCTGGATGTGCCTCTCCTATCTGATCTGTTGGGATGAGGAGACACAATCAGGAAGACATGGTCCCTCAGATACTTCTAACTTTATTACTCTATGATTTGTATGCTCTAAAGTTTACACAGCTCATTTTTTAAAAAACAAAACAGGTTGCCATGATAAACTTTAATCCACAATTACATTGTACATTGCTAAAGGGTGCCTACTAGGGTGCAATTTATAAATGGAAAATGACATCCATATAGATGAAAAGCAAACATACTGTGCATTGAGTCATAAATCTGGGTTAAATGGGGATTCAGTGTAAAGTATGCTTCTTGCCTCCTAAAATAAAGAGCCCCTGTTAAAAATGTTGGAGCAGAAAATTGAGGGAAACAACCTATTAGGTCATGACAATAGGATGAGGTCACCCTGCTCTTATTATGTCCTTAGAATGTCAGCCTTCCTTGGCAACCCATGAAAGTTCACACAACTTCCTGCCAGTCTTCGTACCGCAGGGAATTCTGTAGACTATTAAGCTACTAAAAAGTAATACAGTATTTTGAACTTCCTTCCCACCCATTTTTTTTTGAGTGATGCCAATAGAGGATAGACACAGATGTTCATTTGCATGTAAGCATTATGCATAGCTATTTCACATACCAGTTGTCTGTTCCCATGCTTTTCATTTCAACAGCTACAAGGTAGTCAACTAACCTTTCATGCACATAAACTGTGGTTTGTATGTGTGTGTGTATCTGTGTCTGCCTGCCTGCCTGCCTGCCTGCCTCTCTCTCTCTCTCTCCCTCTCTCTCGGCACAATTCAATAGTTGAGATGATACTTTGCTTACAAACGAACAGAATAACAGAGTTGGAAGGGACCTTGGAGGTCTTCTAGACTGACCCCTCTTCAAGTAGGAAACCCTATACCAGTGAAGACAAATCTTTTCAGCACTGAGTGCCCAAACCAGAACACATGTGCATATGTGGGTGCCGGAGCGCAGTGCTCTTTTTTTTGGCCATTTTCAGGCCATTCTTTGGGCCATTTTCAAATCCTTTGGGGGCCATTTTCAGGATGTTTGGGGGCTGTTTGGGGGGCATTTTTCAGGGGGGTTGTTTTTGGTTGCTTTAGGCCCAGAAACAGGCCTGAAAATGGCCCTGACAAACAGCCAGAAAAATGGCCTGTTTTTTGAGCCATTTTCTGGCACTCTGATGCCTGCATAGCCCAGCATGCCAGAAGCCAGAAGAGCAGCTGGCGATGGTATGCATGCTCACAGAGAGGGCTCTGTGTGCCATGTCTGGCATGCATGCCATAGGTTCGCCATCACGCCCTATACCATTTCAAATAGTTGTCCAACCTCTTCTTAAAAACTACCAGTGTTAGATCTCCTCAAGTTCTGGAAGTAAGTTGTTCCATTAATTGTTCTGTCAGGAAATTTTTCCTTAACTCTAGTTTGGTTCTCTCCTTGATTAGTTTCCATCTGTTACCTTCACACACCTTCACACACTGCCTTCAGGTGCTTTGGAGAATAGCCTGACATCACCTTCCCCTTTTATTGAGGTAGACTGAACCAGCTATACCTGGTTCAATCCCATGATCTTCTGAAGTAAGACGTTAGTACAAAATTATTGGAACAGCTTTAGTATATCATGAGCTTCTAGCTCTTGCAAGTATTTTGGGTGCTACAAACTGCCTCCGTTACTCCTTCTTAAGAAAGTTTTGACAAAATGAAAGGATAAAAATAATTCCTAAAATATGCACATTTCTGTTGACTAATCAAGTCTGAGCATAACCCAGGCAAGCATCCCATGATTAGGTGAGCTTTCTCCAAACAAGCTTATTCAGCATCAATGGTTTTAAAACTGATAAAAAGAACTTATCATTCAGTCTTCAGATAGCACTGGACTAGACAGGGAAGCAGATTTTAGATTGTTTTGCACTAAGCAACTGTTTGACAGATAATCTTTTTTCCCCCAGTGCTAATCATCTCTGCCCAAAGATGAACTCTTTTGCTATGTGAGTGGGTTTCCCTGTTGAAATGATGTTGACAACATGTGAAATAGCACATTTTTCACTGTCTACAAGCAGATGGGACTGTAGCAGGAAAAACCATCTACAAAGGGGCTAGGATGAAGAGTTTTATTTTATAAAATAATATTACTTCTTTGATAGGGTACTTGTCTGCTCACTGCTTTCCGGAAGAGATTAAACCTGAACTTCAGTACCTTTTCAACTCTTTTTGAGTACTAAGACTTGGAATCATTTTGCCAACCTAATTAGAATTGTTATCAGTGGTGGGATTCAATTTCTTTTACTAACGGTTCTGTGGATGTGGCTTGGTGGGCGTGACAGGGGAAGGATACTGTAAAATCTCCAGTCAGAGGTGGTACTTGCCGGTTCTCCAAACTACTCAAAATATCCACCACCGGTTCTCCAGAACTGGTCAGAACCTGCTGAATAGGGGTCCCCAAACTTGGCAACTTTAAGACTCGTGGACTTCAACTCCCAGAATAGCATAGCTGGCTGGAGAATTCTGGGAGTTGAAGTTGACAAGTCTTAAAGCTGCCAAGTTTGGGGACCCCTGCTTTATGTTAAACATTGTTACTTATGTGAATAAGTAATGATGAGTGTTAATTTTTGCTTGCAGCTGATGTTTTCCTCTTTATTTGATAATTGTCAACTCAAACTGCGTATCTGCAGGTGAGTGTGTGGGACAAAGAAGTCACGATGATGGTCACAACCACATATAGGTTGTCCTCGACTTAACAACCATTCATTTAGTGACCTGGTGAACTTAACAATGTCATTGAAAAAGGGACTTATGATTGGTTTTCATCAGTGGTGGGATTCAAATTTTTTTACTACCGGTTCTGTGGGCATGGCTTGGTGGGCATGGGTTAGTGGGCATGGCAGGGGAAGGATACTGCAAAATCTCCATTCCCTCCCCACCCCACTAGCCTGCTTTCCAGCTCCGTTCTCCTGTGCAGGGCAACCAAAGAAGACCCAGCCAATCAGCTGGGACTTGGGAGGCAGAGAATAGATGGCGGCAGGGCCAGTCAGAGGTGGTATTTGCCGGTTCTCCGAACAACTCAAAATTTCTGCTACCGGTTCTCCAGAACTGATCAGATCCTGCTGAATACCACCTCTGGTTTTCATGCTTATGATTGTTGAGGCATCCCCGTAGTCATGCGATCATAAATCTGGACACTTGGCAACTGGCATGCATTTACGAAGGTCCCAGGGTCATGTGATCACAATTTGTAACCTTCCCAGCTGACTTCCAACAAGTAAAGTCAATGGGGGGAGCCGGATTCACTTAATGACTGGCAATTCACTTAACAACTGCAGTGATTTGCTTCAAAACCAGGGCAAAGAAGGTCTTAACATTCAACACAATTCACTTAACAGCCATCTTGCTTACCAATGGAAATTCTGCTCCCAAATTTGGCCATTATTTATTTATTTTTATTTATTTGATTTGTCAATTGCTTACAAGATAATAGGTATAAGTATAAACATGAATAAGAATACAGGAAATAGGAACAAATAATTGGGGACAATAGGACAGGGACAGTAGGCATGATGGTGCCCTTATGCATGCCCCTTACAGACCTCTTAGGAATGGGGTGAGGTCAATAGTGGATAGTTTGAGGTTAAAGGAATGGGGGTTAGAGTTGAGGACTAGCTGTATATGAAGCCCCACCCATTTTTTTTCAACTGCCTGGCACATGTGACATACAGAAAAAGGACACAGGGCTTCCATTCTGCAGTTGTTATTGGCATTTTGACTCCTTGGAACCCTCATGTATAAGTATCTGATCTTAAAACCGGCTTCTTTATTTTCATGGTCATGGTCATGACTTCATTATAAACAAAGAAAAACATCTTTGTATTTTGTCTTATCAAAAAACTTATTGAGTTTCTAACGAGAGCATGATCTGCAACATTAAATATGAAATAGAAAAACTATAGTCTTTGATTACTGGTGTAGCACATTATTTGTTAAATTTGATAATAAAGGTAACACGAAGTGGCATATGTTGAATTTTGATATCCAAAAGTTTGATATCATGAATTTTGATATCCAAAAGTTCTTTTGTTTGCAGTGGCAACATCTAAAGGCCTAAAGACAAAAGGAAACCCTTTCAAAGTCTGCTTTTATATTTCAGAAGGACAGAGAACAACTCAAAACTTAAACGTCCAGAACTGAATTATAGCTCTAGTCAGAAGAGTGAACACAAGTAAAGTTTCTGATCTTCTATACGCATATTGGATTTTGTTTCAAGGATTCCTAATTCAATTTATGTCCTTGTCTTTGGCAAACCCCTAGCTGTGTCTTTCCTATTTTCCAACAACGCTGTAAAGGACGGACATGCAATTGCTAGCTTTTGAGCTTTATCATCCTTTATCACTGGCCATGCTGATTAGGCCTGATGATAATTGGAATTCAACCTCTGAAGGACATCAGGTGCATGTACAGGACTTTATGCTATGTACTGTATAATTCTTTTCTATCCTGCCACAAAGCAGTTTTCTTTTCTTTTTTCCAGGTAAAGCACCATTGCCTAGACCAAATTATAAATCTCCAGAACCCAATGGCTGTAGCTCCTATTTCCTGGGTCTCAAGGTACCAGAAAGTGTATGTACTAATAGCCCATTTCCTTGATGAAATAATTAACTGATCAAAACATCCAGGAAGAAAGAAGTGTTTGACTTTGCTGTAAACAGCTGCAATTGCTCAACTGATTCTATTCAAAGTATGCCTAGGCAGTCATTCTCCTCATGTTATGCAAGCTATTTCCCTATGCATGCCAAAGGGGATGGCTAGCTGTGTATGGCAGACAAAATGAATGTGTTTTTGTCTGACCACTGCCCATAAAAGTCACTCTTTGATTGGTTGGGCAACAGACTACTTAATCCCCAACTGTTAGGAGCAGCTGTGCTGTTAAATATATCTTCTAGAAATTGCAGATTTGGAAATGGATGCTGGCTAGAAAACACCTTTCAATTAAAGTTAAAGGCCCAGAGTACTGTAACATGAATATTAGTAATAAGGAGACTGCTAAAACACTCAAGTCTGATTCAGATTAGACTCCATTAATCTCACCTCAACTGGTGCTACGACTTAATTTAATTTAGCCAGCATTTGATATTTCCTAGCAGATATACAATTTGCTAGCATTGAAATTCCCACATTACAGAATTCTTTGTTGCAAGAAGGATCTGCATTTGCTGAATGGAATTTGCATTCTCCATATTGCACATTTCCTTTGTACAACTTCATCCTGGATGTTATATTATACTGCACCAGTTCAGGTTCATTGTTCATCGATTGCTGGTATTTTCAACATGATGCAACAGAAGGGAAGTCTTGCTCTGCAACCCTAAAATTTCCTGGTAAATCTCCAATAAATTTTGGGACAGTTGCCGCTTTGTTGACCTATTCAGATTGGCTGAACGTATCCTTGGACGTTGAACAATATCTTGTCGCTAAAAGCCATGGGCAGATACAGCTCCGGAGATCCTCTCCTGGTTCCTATTTATTCCCAAAATAAATAGAAGATCAATTTGCCTAATCTCACATTTCACTGCAGTTCTCCTGCTGGGCAGGGCAGTCAAATATATAGCACTTTCACTTGTTAAAATATTCATGGTGGAGAGGCATGAAGAGCATTTTTATAGGAGAAATATGGGAGGAGGGGAGAATCATTTCAAATCCCAGAGTTATTTTTTTTCCCTGTCTCTTGGCATTCTTTTACAGCTTGATATGGGCATCCCGGCCATGACTAAATGCTGCAACCAGCTGGATGCGTGTTATGATACCTGTGGGTCTAATAAATATCGCTGCGATGCCAAGTTTCGTTGGTGCATGCAGTCCATCTGCTCTGACCTTAAACGTAGCCTTGGTTTTGTCTCCAAGGTAGAAGGTAAGTTTCCTGTTGGGGAAGATGTTAAACACATCAACACAGGACTACAGTGTCACACCGCGTTCTGAGCTCACAGTAGGGAGAGGGACAATAGCAATAGTAATAGCACTTGGACTTATATACTGCTTTACAGTGCTTTCTGGCCCTCTCTAAGTGGTTTACAGAGTCAGCATATTGGCCCCAACAATCTGGGTCCTCATTTTACCCACCTCAAAAGGATGGATGGCTGAGTCAATCTTGAGCCTGGTGAGATTCGAACTGCTAAATTGCAGGAAACCGGCAGTCAACAGAAGGACCCTGCAGTACTGCACTCTAACCACTGCACCACCAAGGCGCATATAGTAACCTGGACTCGGGCCCTTGTGAATCAGCTCAAAAATCAAACATAAGTAGTCCCCGACACACAACAGTTCATTCAGTGACCGTCTGAAGTTGCAATAGCACTGAAAGAAGGGACTTGGGACTGTTTTCCCACTTAGATCCATTGCAGCCTCCCATAGTCACATGAACTGAACTGTGATGCTTGGCACTTGGTTCATATTTATGATGGTTGCAGTGTCCTGGGGTCACATGATCCCCTTTTGCGAACTTCCGACAAGCAAAGTCAACAGGGAGGCTAGATTCACTTAACGGTGTTACTAACTGAACAACAGCAGTAAGTTACTTTACCACAATGGCAAAAAGGGTTGAAAAAATGGAGCAAAATTCACTTAACAAATGTCTCGCTTAGCCATGGAAATTTTGGGCTCCATTATAGTCATAAGTCAAGGACTACCTGTATTGAGATTATCTGAATTTTTAAAAAATCTATCACCCTGATGGACAGAGAAGGCTAAACCAGACTTATATTCATCCTGAAATAATTAAAAAGCATACCAAGTGCATTTTTTTCTTATGAGATTTATAAGATATAATTAAGTAGGAATGGAAGTAAAGTAATTTCAGATGGATGTTACAAAGGTGTCATGCCCCTGTTAGAATCTGACTCTGAGGGAGAGGAGGAATAGCCAACAGAAAGTGGGAGTATGGCTCTGGAGGTTGTGGAGGAAACTGGGGAAGGGCGCAGGCCAGCTGAGCATTCAGAGGAAAACCCAGGCCCATCCCCTCTTTAGTATTTTTAGTATTTATTAGATTTGTCAATCGCTTACAAGATACAGGTATAAGAATAAATATAATTTTGAATACATGAGATACTTATAAGAAAAATAAAAAACAATAGGACAGGGACGGTAGGCACGATTGGTGTGCTTATGCATGCCCCCTACAGGCCTCTTAGGAAGAGGGTGAGGTCAATAGTAGACAGTCTAAGGTTAAAGTTTTGGAGTTTGGGGAAGAAAACACAGAGTCAGGTAGAATATTCCAAACATTGACCACTCTGTTGCTGAAGTCGTATTTTCTGCAGTCAAGTTTGGTGCAGTTAACCTTGAGTTTGTATCTATTGTGTGCTCTTGTATTGTTATGATTGAATCTGAAGTATTCATTTGCAGGCAGGACATTGCAATGTTATGATTTTATATACTATATTTAGAACGGACCGGAGGGGGCATAGTTCTAGGTTTTCTAGGTCTAGAGTTTCAAGTCTGGTGGCATAAAGTATTCTGCAATGAGTAGAGGAGCGGAGAAGTCTTCTTGTGAAATATTTCTGGACTTTTTAAATTGTGTTAATATCAGATACATGATGTGGATTCAAGACTGATGAGCTGTATTCAAGTATAGGTCTAGCAAATGTTTTGTATGCTCTGTTAGTAGTGTGATATTACCAGAGAAGAAGCTACATAGGATTAGATTAACAGCTCTTAATGCCTTTTTGCCTATGTAGTTACAGTGGGCTCTAGCACTTAGATCATTTGAGAGGAGTGTTCCAAGTTGCTTGACAAAGTTTGGATCATCAACAAGGTCTTGACTATTTAGCTTGTATTTTATTTTCTGATTTTTTTCTGCCAATATGTAAGACAAAGCATTTATTTGTTGAGATTTGAAGTTGCCATTTGATTGACCATTCTGACACATAATCAAGGTCTTTTTTCGGGGTAGTAGTATTGTCTATGGTGTTGAACAGCTTTACATCATCAGCGAAGAGAACATAGTTGCTCTTAGTATGATCATAGAGGTCATTTATGTAAAGTATGGAGATAGTTGGTCCTAGAACACTGCCTTGGGGGACACCACTATTGACAGGTACAGAATTTGATAGGATGCTCCCAATTTTGACCATTTGTTGTCTGTTTGACAGGAATGCTTCTATCCAGAATGTCCAGAGATACCATAAGATTTTAGTTTTAGTAGTAGTTTGTCGTATACCACTGAATCAAAGGTTTTACAGAAGTCTATGTAGATTGCGTCTATTGCTTTGCCCTGATCAAGTTGTGTAGTCCATATGTTTTTGCAGTGTAAGAGTTGCAGATTGCAGGATAGTTTTTTTTTCCTGAAACCAAATTGTTTATTGGAGAGTAGGTTGTTTGTCTCTAAGTGGAGGATAATGGATTAGTTAATAATTGATTCCACGACTTTACAGATGATGCAGCATAAGGAGATTAGTCTGTAATTTTCAATGAGGCTGGGGTCTCCCTTTTTGAAGATGGGGATGACCGTGGCTTGTGACCATAGGTTAGGCAAGGAGCTGGTCCTGAAAGATTTTTCAAAGATTATGCTTAGAGGTTCGGCTATGGCAGTGGGTAGCTTTTTTAAGAAGTAGGAACATATTCCATCCAGTCCAATAGATAGAGATGGTTTTAGATTGTGCAGTGCTTTTTCAACAATGTCTTCTGTAAAATCGATATATATTAGATCATTGTAGTTGTCTGTGGTTCGACTAGGAAGTACTGGGCTTGATCCATTGCTGTTTACAAATACTGAGCCAAAGAATGTGTTAAAGAGTTTTGCTTTGATGGTGTCATCGTTGTAGTCTTTACCATTAGGTCCTTTCAGGGGTGGGATGGACCTTGAGTCTTTCAGTTTGTTGTTTACAAAATTGTAGAAAGCACGGGTGGAATTTGTGCATAGGTTTTCCTCTTGTTGAATGTGATAATTAATGCATTCAATTTTTATCTGGTGGTATAAATTTTTGAAGTTTGGCAACATGACCAGATTTGTTTTTTTGCCAGAGTGATCTCTTTTTGGATTGAAGCTTCCTATTGTTATGTGTAACCTGTTTTTCCTGGTTTTGGGAGTTGTTATTGGTACATATAGTTTGATGGCTCTTTTGATTTCTAGTAAGAATATGTTGTAATGGTTTTCAACAGTATTGCTCTTCATCCTAGGGCACACAGGGTGAAGCGGATAAGGGAGAAACGTGAATGGTGTGGTCTACGGGGAGGAAAGGGCCTTGATCCCCTTCATGGGCTGTAGCTGTGAGGATTGTTTAAAAGGACAAACTGTGCATGGGCTAGTGCTGGAAGCAAAGTGTGAAAATATTTCTAGTCTGTCAGTTCTTATCTGAGTTCTGGTGTCCTTCCCAGTGTATGTATTTCAACATCCGTGGATGTCTTCAGGCCCTTATCCTCCCTTGTCTCATTAATTCTTCAGTGTGATTTGTGTTTTTTTTCTATTTATAATTTATATGTATTTTGAGTTTGAACGGAAGTTCTTCCTTTTCGCAACTGTTTGTGGGGGAGTTTTTTTTTCTCCGGTCAATGATAATTGGACCTTTAAAGCCAAGTTGAAGGAACTAAAGGGACATCACCTGTTTTTGTGACTTTGTTGCTTTTGTATCCCACCCTGGGCAAAAGGTGACTCAACCATTTTTTATTGCATGCTTGCACTCCTGAAAGGGCCAATAGGAAAAGGATGGTTCTTCACATATTAGACCTCAACTCCCACTCTGGAGCTGAAGCCCCAAAAAGTTTGCAGGTTTTACAGGTAGTCCTTGATTCGTGATCATAATTAGGATCAAAATTTCTGTTGCTAAGCAAGGGGGCTGATAAGTGAATTATACTCAAAGTTATAGCCTTTCTTGCCACGTCTGTTAAACAAATCCCTGAGGTTGTTCAATGAACCATGTGGTTGTTAAACAAATCCCGCTTCCCCCAGTGACTTTGCTTGTTATCAGCCAGCTGGGAAATTTTTCAAATGGCGATCACGGGACCTTGGGACACTGCAACCGTCAAAAATATACGCTGGTTGCCAAGCACCTGAATTTTGTTCATGGGCCTGTGGAGATGCTGCAATAGTCATCAGTGTGAGCTCATAGGCCACCTTTTTCAGTGCTGTTGTAATTTTGAAAAGTTGCTAAACAAATTACTGTAAATCTGGACTACCTGTATCATCATTATCTTCTTCTAATGACCCCATAATCCCTTTCAGGGTGGAGTCTGGGCAATTGAATGAAGCTAGCAGAGTGTTTTAATGGCCAGATGCCTTTCCTGTCGCCAATATGGAGTTTTGTTCAGCAGATATATTCTCAGTGTGCCCAGAGAGAGAAATATCTGCCTCTACCTAGGATTGAACTCAGAGCCTCCTGATTGTGAGGCGAGAGCTCCACCTTTAGGTCACCACACCACTCCAAGCCTGGACTACCCGAATCTCCCTCTGAATAACTAAAAACAAAATTTCCTATAAAACCAGCCGGCTAAAGGAAAGAAGGAAGGAAGGAAGGAAGGAAGGAAGGAAGGAAGGAAGGAAGGAAGGAAGGAAGGAAGGAAGGAAGACTATTGCATTGAAAGATGCAGAGATTTATTAAAACATATTTGCAAATTAAAAAAGGTGTGGAACACTGAACAAAGTATTTCAAAAAAGTTCATTCAAGCAGAAAGCAGCATTTCATCCTCATGCACCATTAAATTCTCTTAGGCTAAATCAGAAGCAATTAGATTATTTTTCAAATGTAATAATTAAGATAAATTAGGAAATTCATACTTCAGAGGTACTGATGTACAGGACTTTCGCAGAAAAAGTGACAATAATTCATTGGCTTCATTAGGGTGATAAAATGTGTAGATTTGCCACTTCCTGGTCACATGGCTTGAATACCACACTTCTTACTCAAAGTTTGTCCTCTTTTT